GCGAGAACGGTGGAGAGAGAAGCAGGGAGTTATAAGAAGGATGAGAAATATATAAACGGCATGCCAGAGTACACCGTGGAGATAAAGGAGCACATACCGGTAAGGAGGGGGGGGGGGTCTTTGGGACTGCTGTTTGGATATGTCCATCATGGAAGGTTCTGATGGGTCCAGATCCAGGAGAGTACAGTGGTGAAGCACGCTGGGGTGACGTCGAAAGGCCGCTCAGAGTTCATCCAAAGAATCCAGTTCCAGAAGCTGACCCCCGGCAGCGTCATCGCCTTCAGGTAGACCTCCCAGAACGCCGTCCCTGCCGCCTTGTGGAACCTCCTTAACTAAACCTCTATTTTCTCAACGCTGAACAGGGTCAGCCTGGACCCCAAGGCACAGCAACTGGTGGGCGTGTTGAGGTTTTATTTGTCCCAGTTCAGCCCCAAGTACAGGAAGGGCAGCGTTCCAGATGAAAACCCCCCAGAGGTGCTGCAGAAACCCCTCGCTCAGTGAGTACTTCCTGTTTGCTTCCGATCCACTGAATGAAGCTCTGTCCAGTGAAACATGTCCTCTGGGTGAACATCATTCTATGACGGCCAGAAGGAGCAGACTGCTGGAAAGAAGTCAAAGTTTCATGGTTTCTGGCCTTCATGCTGAAAAGATCAAACTACCAACCGAGTTACCCCTCTGTTAGTGGAACAGGGTGGTCTACAGCCGGTACAAATAAGTGGTCTACAGACACTAGAAAGGGGGAGTGTACAGCCGTGGTAGAACAGGGCAGTCTACAGCCGATAGGATGGAGTGGACTACAGCCGGTAGAACAGGGGGTTGGTCTACAGCCAGTAGAACAGGGGGTTGGTCTACAGCCAGTAGAACAGGGGGTTGGTCTATAGCCAGTAGAACAGGGGGTTGGTCTACAGCCAGTAGAACAGGGGGTTGGTCTACAGCCAGTAGAACAGGGGGTTGGTCTACAACCGTGGTAGGATGACGTGGTCTACAGCTCGTAGAACGGGGCGGTCCACAGCCGGTAGAATGGGGCTGTCTACAGCCGGGTGTACATTGCGGTCTTCAGTCGGTAGTATTGGGTGATTTACAGGCGTGGTAGAATGGGGCGATCTACAGCCGGTAGAAATGAGTGGTCTACAGCCATGGTAGAAAGGGGCGGTCTACAGCATTGGTAGAACAGGGCAGTCTACAGCTGGTAGTACAGGGTGGTCTACAGCCGTGGTAGAACTGGGCCGTCTAAAGCAGGTACAAAATTCGTGGACTACAGCCGGTAGAGCAGGGTGGTCTACATTCGGTAGAGCTGGGTGGTCTACAGCCGGTAGAGCTGGGTGGTCTACAGCCGGTAGAGCGGGGTGGTCTACAGCCCTGGTAGAACGGGTTGGTCTACGGCCGTGGTAGAACGGGGCGGTCTACAGCTGTGGTAGAAATGAGGCGGCCTACAGCCAGTAGTAAGGGGTGGTCTACAGCCAGTAGTAAGGGGTGGTCTGCAGCCATGGTAGAACAGGGTGTTATATAGCTGGTAGACTAATAAATAATTACCTTATAAGATACTGGCCCAGGTAGACCTGACAAGGTGATGGTGGGTCTGCATATCCAATAGAAGGGAGCAACTCAGTGTTTGACAGACTGCTACAGTCTAGCAGCCACCAGCAGGACCATCTACTCCATCACGGTCTCTGCTCTTCAGAGGTCTGGGTCTGAATACATAGAAAGATGATCAGTTTTCTTCCTGTGGCATTTCCATGGTAAAGACCACCTTTCTGGCAGGTAAAGCAGTCTCTCGCTGTCTCTCACAGGCTGATGTCCAAGCTGACGCTCGCAGACATGAACATCCTGCTGTTTCGCTGTGAAGCCGAGGAACAAGAAGACGGCGGCGGCTGCTACAGCATCCCAGGCTGGGAGAGCCTGAAGTATGCCGGTCTGCAAGGTTCGGTGTTTGCAGATGGCCCGGGCCACTGGGGGGGAGGGGGGGGTCACCATCAATTAGGTAGCATCTGATCAGGAGGCGGAGCCTCAGGCAGCTGGATCCTCCCAGCTTCCCCGTCACATCAGGGCAGTCACTAAACCGCTTCCTTTTCTTTATCAGAGGATGATTGATCCTCAGCTCATTCATTTTCTACTTTATTTTCTCTCTGCTTGCTCTAATGAAATAAGTTGATGACTAGATTTTATTTGTATTTCTTTTAGTGTTTCTTAGTGGCAGACTGTCTGAAATGACTTTCCTGTGATCTATTTTTTTCTACTAAATTAAACTGAATGAACAGAGGCGCTGATTCCAGCAACTTTCCCGTCTATAAAGACCAATGATTAGTGTCGAAAAAGAGAAAAAGTTTCTTCACCATCTGCAGACTACAGAAGCAAAGATGTCTTTCCTCCTGCTAACTGTGCAGACGGAGCGTCTTCAGCAGCACGGCGGCCATGTTGGAACCTAGAGATGTTTCCACCCTGTTTGTTCCGCCCATCTGGGACCAGGGTTACTTTCTAAGCGGATATTTAGAAGCTCTGCTGATGGCGGAGGAGCTGTGATTGATTCGGTTCTCTTCCATGATCGGGCCTTTGCCGTCCATTTTAAAGATCTAAATGCCGGAGCGTGATCCCAGACGACCCTATCTGGCCCTAGGGAGACGGACTTTCCCTTTCAGGGAGTTTTATTGTCTTTTACTTTGAAGCCGTGGGTCTCTAACCCAGACCCATGAGGTCTGACCAGGAGAGACCCGGGGACGCATCCTGTCCGGTTTTTGATCTTAGCTCCATGACCTCATAGGACACTATAGCCCCATTTAGACTAGCCTTTAGGAACCGTGCAGAGATCGGTCATAGCACGGTAACCATGGTAACTGTTGAGTGAAAATGGAATCTAACTGAACCAGACCGTGCCAGACAGAGGTGAACCGTGTTAAACCGGTTCTAGTTCAGCGGTACGGTTCGGTGTGGTTCATATGTGGCTCGGTTCTCTGATATCAAAGAGCGCATCAGCAGACCGCCCCATCTCCTATTTACAGTCAGCTGAGTTCGGCTTTGTTATTCACAGACCTCCTGTTCACGACAAAAACTACTTCGCTTCTTAACAACAAGTGGCATCAGAAGAGCGCGATGCGATCTGGGATGATGCAGAGACCGAGACTCTCATTGAAATTTGGGCTGAGGACTCTATCCAGGCACATAAGTTCCTGAATGTTATGAGTGCCACCATTTGTGTTTGCGAAATTCTCGACTTGAGAGCTGCAGTGGCGTCATGTGGAAATGGTCATAAAAACCAAACTCGGCATGGTTAACTAATCCAGGCTGGGTCTGAACACGCCGCATTTAACTGATCCGAACTCGGTCTCAACACGGCACGGTTACCTGTTCCGAACTCGGCACGGTTAACTGATCAGAACTCGGTCCGAACTCGGTCCGAACTCAGCGCGGTTAACTGATCCGAACTCGGTCCGAACTCGGTCCAAATTCAGCACGGTTAACTGATCCGAATTCGGTCCGAACTCAGCGCGGTTAACTGATCAGAACTCGGTCCGAATTCTGCATGGTAAACTGATGCGAACTTGGTCCGAACTCGGCACGGTTAACTGATCAGAACTCGGTCCGAACTCGGTCCAAATTCAGCGCGGTTAACTGATCCGAACTCGGTCCGAATTCTGCACGGTTAACTGATCCGAACTCGGTCTGAACTCGGCATGGTTTGATTTCAGAGGGCTAGTGGAAATGGGGCTAATGTTGCGAAATGTTGCGGTCTGTGTGACGCGGTACCGATGCTCTGTGCTTCTGGTTCGTAGACCAGCTTTTCTCCGTCCAGAGTAGGCAGGTGAGTCTAGTCGGTGTTTTGAGTCGTGTTTGTCCTGCAGGTCTGATGTCGGTGCTGGCGGATATCCGTCCAAAGAACGACCTGGGCCACCCTCTGTGTGCCAACCTCAGAGACGGAGACTGGCTCATAGACTTTGTCTCCAACCGGCTGATCCACAGGGAAGGACCTCTGGCTCAGGTGAGCAGCTTGGGGAGGGGGGAGGGTCCCTGCAGCAGAGGGCTGGTCTGCAGCTCGCTCGCTCAAACGTCCATTAAGGGACGTACAGACAGGTGTGGGTCGTCAGGCTCCTGGGGTCTAAGGACTGGACGTTTATGTGTGTGTGACCTCTGACCCCACACGTGTGTCTGCAGGTGGGTCAGTGGTTGGCAGCCATGTTTAACTACCTGAAGCACTTCCCTCGTTACCTCATCCCTTGCTACTTTGATGCCATCCTGGTGTCGACCTACACCACGGCTCTGGACGCCACCTTCAAGCTGATGTCCAGGTACTGTCCCCACTGGTTGCCCTTCTGTCTGTACCTCCTGGGACCTGAAGGCTTCTCCATCATCTTCCAACAGCTTTGTGGAGAAAGGTTCCACGTTCGTCCGCCACCTGGCGCTGGGCTCGGTCCAGATGTGCGGCGTGGGCCGGTTTCCGGCTCTGCCTCCGGTTTCCTCCAAAGTGGGGGACGTCCCGTACCGCATCAGCCCCATCACCGGGGAGAAGGAGCAGTGCTGCGTCTCCCTGGCAGCAGGTTTCTGTCCCTTTGGAGCAGAAGGAAAAATGCTGATTTGATCAGTTCTTCATCATCGCTCATGTCTCTGTAGGTCTTCCTCATTTCTCCGCTGGGATTTTCCGTTGCTGGGGCAGAGACACCTTCATCGCGCTCAGAGGACTCATGCTAATCACAGGCAGACACGCCGAGGCGCGGTACGTGTCTGACTATGGTGCCATCTTTGTGCCTCTGACCTGAGGGCAGTGAGAATGGCGTGCAGTGTTTAACCCCGCCCCCCCCTCGCTCGCTCAGCTCCATTTCTGCGCTCAGCTGATGGTGGATGTAAACAAACCGCAGCAGCATCAGAGACGGACCTTTTTCATCCCATCAGTGTAATCCTCCCTACGCTAAAAATACCGCACTGTGGCAGGACTTATAAAACCTCACGAAGAAAAAACTCACTGAAAGGTTCTCTATTAATAAATACTGGAAAATATAGAATAACTGTTTTATTTTCCAAAGCAACTGGCCTCGACTTAGTGATGGTTGAAGCTCGTCCAAGTTTTTTTAACTTCTCTGATTGGTTGATGTGGCGCGTCCAGCAGCTGCTGCTTGTGAAGCACTTCATGCGCCTGAGATGTTCAGAAGCTCATGAGGCGCTGCTCCTGCTGCTCCTGCTGCTCCTGCTGCTCCTGCTGCTCCTGCTGCTCCTGCTGCTCCTGCCACTGTAGACCTTTTGCTGCGCCTTGATGCTTTTGATGCTTGTCAACCATTGACTTTGCAGTTAAACCAGTTGCCTCTGCTGCTTGCGGTCTGAACGTTGCATTAGTTGAGCGCGGAAACATTATGGAGCGACAGTGAGTTAAAAAGCTGCACATCGTTCGCACTGCACTCAGGTCAGCCACACAAATTGGCTACTAGAAGCCAGCAGGAAATACCCAAACCCTTCTGTCTCCATAGCAACATCATTCTGGCATTTGCTGGGACGCTGCGTCACGGTTTGATCCCCAACCTGCTGGGAGAGGGTCGCAGCGCCAGATACAACTGCAGGGACGCTGTGTGGTGGTGGCTGCAGTGCATCCAGGTATGGAACCAGAACCGTCCCCTGAGAATGGTTGCTACCATTTCAGGTTCTAACTGATGACCCAGTTGGTTTCTCCAGAAGTAATCAGTTCTCTCCTCAGGATTACACCAACCTGGTTCCTGAGGGACATGAAATCCTGCGCTGCCCCGTCACACGCATGTACCCCACAGACGACTGTGAGCCCTGCAGACCAGAGCAGGTGGTGAGAGAGCGAGAGAGAGAGGCCCTCTGGGTGGACGTCATCCAGTCTGCTACACCTTCTACCTGATCCAACTCTCCTGTTC